ATCTATATTCTGGAACTTTGTAAAGTGTTTATGATACTGACTCTCATTTTACAGCAACTTATTAGGTGTTGTTTTCTTTATTTTATTAATAAGAAACTGAAGAGTATCACTGGGCCATAGAATATACAATTGGAAGATTTCACCTGCTCCAAAATGCGTGCTATTTCCACTTTATAGCAAAGTTTCTAAAACCAACAAACAAAAACACACTTCATTGAAATGACTTGGTCTATTTGGGGTTTTTTGTTTTTTTTAATATTTATTTATTTATATTTTACATACATTGGTGTTTTGCCATGAGTGTTGGGTCTCCTGGAACTAGAATTACAGACAGTTGTGAGCTGCCATGTGGGTGCTGGAAATTGAACCCGGGTCTTCTGGAAGAGCAGTCAGTGCTCTTAACCACTGAGCCATCTCTCCAGCCCCGGCTTGATCTATTTGTTTATGAAACAAGAGGGAAAAGGCAGGCCTTCAGCTATATACTTCCGTGGCAGAGCTAGGGCTAGTAGGGATTTTTAATCCTCGCTAGACGCTGAACCAAGTCTTTAAGAGCTCCCTTCTCACCCATGCACCAGCTGTAGAAATCTACCACGAGATCCCCACACACATCAGAAAGCTGCTGTCTTTGACAGTTCCTTCCTCACTTTCCCCAGCCATTTCTGTTGCTTCATCTTTCTGCAGTGTGCAGATGGTGTGCTCTCTCACGCTCCCAACTCCATCCCCCAAACCTGCCTCATCGTCTGTGCCTGGCTTAGTGGCCCTTATCTTTATCCAGGTTGGAATGAAACTTTGATTTCCCAGGGCACAAGGCAAAGCCTGTCAATAATGAGAAGAACATCTGGCCTTCAGACTCAAAATTTGGAGGATTATGGAAAAGATTTGAAAACCAGATAGCCCGTCTAGAATTGGAAATTTTCTTCTTCTCTAAAAATCGACTCAAATGAGCTTTTTGGGGGAAGCCCCACTGGTTTCTCAGCAAGTCCATTTCTGCTTCTAATGTCACGTTCAAGCTCTTGTCTGATTATGATTTATGAGAAAATGAAAAATAATGGCATACAGCTTAAATTGTATTTCTCTACTGATAATGAAAGGATGGAAAGAAAAGAACTCAAAACGGCACAACCCACGTACCTCGCAGAAGTGTATATTTAACCCATTTTGTTTTTTGTGCACTTTCTACCACCCAGTCATGGTCAACCTGACAAGTTAAGTGTGCTCAGCCAGGTGCCAGATCTCCAAAATCTCTCATCAGGAAAGGAATTCCAGGAGAGACTCAGAAGCAAGGCTGAGACAAGTGCAGTGGCGCCTGTCGCTAGCCCCAGGACATAGAGACAGGAAGGTCAGAAGTTCAAAGTCATCTTCAGCTACATAGTAGATTCAAAGCCAGCTTGAGATACAGGAAATCTTGTTTAAAACCTAGAAAGAGGCTTGAGGATCGCCAGATAATTCAACAGTCTCTGCAGGCAGCTACCTCTGCCCCAACTATCGGGGTCACTAACAGTTTTCAGTGTCTCATCCTTGGAGTCTAGGGGAAGTGGTTCTGGAAATCACCCAGGTTTTCTTAGCAGATTTTGAAAAGTGGGAAGTGTCCTTCATTCTTAGAAATCACGGGTTTCCTATTTGGTCTCAAGAACTGAAAAAGCTTTCTAGTTTGGCCTTTGGGGATCATTACGGAGAATCAGAAAAGTTTCCTTGTCAATTGGCCAATGAGCTAGAGTGTTAAGCAATCCTGGTAGAAGGGCAAGAAAGATGTGCACCACAGATGGTTGCCCTGCTGTAGGGCTGTGCTTGTACTGAGCAGAGGGAATTGAAGAAGAGTCATGCTTTGGGGTTTTCCACTCAATCCTGACATCTGGCCCTAGCTTGTTTCAGGTTCAACACTGGTCAGCTGACGTATCTTACAGCAAGCTCTAATTAGAAAGTCCTGCCCAGCCTTCTCCTCCATCCGTTGGACATGGCGAAGCTGTTAATGACAGCTCTGTTGCAGGGCATTGATGGCATCGTCAGGAGGCCTGTTTTCTACCTATTTCTAGTTCTGCTCTGGGAAGGATGGTTAGTATAGCTTTATAGGGTGTGTTCAGATTTCAACTGCTCCCGCTGCAGGGATCACTCGGTGATGTATGTCTGGGGTTGACCAGACCACTGTCTAATTTACCACTGCTCCCTGAGGACTGCAGAAAGGATGCCGTGGCACACTGAACCCTCCCGCACTATCCCATGAAGCAAACTCTGCCTTCTCAGCCAGCAGACGCCTAATAACAATTAAAAGCAGAGGGAAAAGGAGCTTGCAGCTGAAAACTGTAGATGGCTACAAAATGTGGAGCAGAAAAGCTCTGAAAGTCTTTCAGTGCAGCTGTCTTGGTAGATTTAAAAAGCAATATTCAATATTTATCTAACTTTGTCCGCAGGCAAAGCCAACCAAATCAGTCAGTAGGACAATATTGGGGGAAAGAAATGCAGGAGGAAGCTGTGGTCTGGCTTACAGAATATGTCTTGTTTTCCTGTATCTATTAATAAGGACTTGGGGGCTTTCAACAACAGCACAGGATTGTAGGGACCTACAGACTAAAAGAAAGGGAGAGAGAAAGACTCTGGCATCAGATAGCTCAGTGATGTCCAGGGAGATGCAGCTATTCTATTGGAAAAGGTAGATTTACAGATCCAATTTGCAGTGACCTTTTGGATGTTCCACCAAAGTAACAGGATGAGGTGGCTCATTTTATAGCCCATGAGACAGAGTGCAGGCACTTACAGTGAGCCCTATAAACAGAGCCTGCAACTGTTCTCCAGAAAGACTGCAAAGCACTTTTCAGTGCCCAGATGATCTTGTGAGTGGTATCCAATCATCTTTAAATGACAAGGCTGATCCCATAATCATGCCAGCAGCTGTCAGGAGTTTAAAAGGGAATAGCTTTGCTTTATGCATAGGATGCAAGCACCAAGTTCTTCTTCAATCAACATCATATCTTAGGGGTAGGAAGAGTACGTTTGTGAGAAATTCTCCTCCTAGACCCTCTCCAGCTCCTTGCCCAAAGACACATGAGCCCTGACTTTGAGACAGCCCTTAACTAGACTCCTTCTGGCTGCCCCTGTTAAAAATCCTAGGGACTTATGAAGTGCCAGGTAACATCTGTGGGTTTTATAAATGGCTTCTCATTGAATTATTCCTCTTCTTGTGACCTTCTTGTGACAGGTAGCATTTTTCAGTCATTACTCTTTGATGGTGAGCAGAGGTATGTGGCTTTAAGATGCACACAGTGAAGCCAGATAGATGTAAATAGTAAAGCTGTGAATTCAAAAGCTCTTTACTTCAAGGCTAGTGTCCTACACTCTTAATCACCCTCTACATTAAAGGCTGCCAGGATTGGTTTCAAAAAACAACTGTTCTGGTCATATAAATGGCTTGTCACTCAGCCCAAGTGGCTTTTATATACCATATCAGTTCTCATGAGACCATGGGCACTGCAAAGGCCGAGGAGGTATGTTTCTGTGATAAATGGCCCACCAGACACACATCCACACTTGTGAATTCTTCCAGTCAATTTCTTCCACAGTTAATTTCACAGTCAGTGTCAATAAAATTTTTAAAAAGTAAGGGGGATATAATATAGAGATGAATACTTTGCATTGATATAGATCTTGGTCTATTGATACATAGTTAAGGTTAATTTTGTTATACTGTGTATATGTATTTCTGCTCTTATTTAAGCTATTATCTTTATACAGCTCATTTTAAAATGTAATACATAATTTAAAATTACAGATTAATAGATAGCCATTTATAATAGTCAAACTTTCAGTCATGTTAGTTAGGTTTTCTAGATATAGTTTAGTTGGGTAATCTTCAACATTTCAAAGACCTACAGAATATGGCATTTAAAATGTGTTATGAATGTAGACTTTTCTCGACAGTGAGACAAGTCTGCTTCTGGCAGCACCAGTTACTTAAGAGAGGTTGATGGGCATTGAAGAAACTCATGGAATTTTCCTTCAATATGACAAGGCTAGCCATTTGGGTAAGAAAGTGCTCTTGCCTGGACTATTTGGTGGCATTCTGTATAAACTGGACATGCAGGACCCACAGAAAAATGACTGCTGAACTTGTCTAAAGAAGGTGAGAATGTCCTTCAGAGTTCCCGCTTCACAGAAGAAACTGCAAGACATCCTAAAAAACACAGAAGAAAACAACTGATGAACTTTGCCATTACAAGGCAGAACAGATCTTCAAATTTTCTGCTTCACTGAAAAGTCTGCCAAACATTATGGGTCTAATAGGCTGAAGACAGATGCCCCAATGTTACATAAGAACTTTGGGTGACTGTCCAGGCAGCGAGATGTCTCTGTCATTTTGGAAGTTGATTATAATACACATCCTGTTTACTTAGGTAATATACCCACCTGGGGTCTTTGAAGAGTTAAAGACAGTAATTATAGTTATAGCTTCCCTTAGTTATTGTTGGAGAAGGGCTGCTTATTTGTTCCCGACTGCTCAGCTCCAAAATAATCACACAGTAACTCTATTGATTAAATCACTGCTTGGCCCACTAGCTCTAGCTTCTTATTGGCTAACTCTTACATAAAAATTTAACACAATTCTATCAATTTGTGTATCACCACATGGCTGTGGCTTAATGGCTAAAGTTCCAGCATCTGTCTCTGGCATCTCCATGGCTTCTCTCTAACTACACCCTTCTTTCTCCCAGCATACAGCCTAGATTTTCCTGCCTAGTTTTGTTCTTCTCTGCCATAGGCTCAAAGCAGTTCTTTGTTCATTAACCAATAAAAGCAACATATAGACAGAAGGGCCTTCCACACCAAGTTATGATAAAAGATAAATTAGATAAACTTTAGACTCACAAATAAATACTATAATTGTAATTCTTGCTTGATACTTATCTTGTTATATGTAATTTTACTTTGTTAAAGTAAAACCTTCCTTTTTATTTAGACAGAATAGGAGAGATGATGTGGGTTGTCCTTCTGTATATGTGTTGCTTTTATTGGTTGATGAATAAAGCTGTTTTGGCCAACGGCTTAGCAGAGTAAAGCTAGGCAGGAAATCTGAACAGAGATATCTAGAGAGAATAGCTGAAGTAGGGGAGACACCACATAGCTGCTGAAGGAGACAGATGCTAGAAACTTACCGGTAGGCCACAACCTCATGGAAATACACAGATGAATAGAAATGGGTTAATTTAAGATGTAAGAGCTAGGTAGAGATACACTTGAGTCATTGATCAAACAGTGTTGAAATTAATATAGTTTCTGTGTGATTATTTAAGTCTGGATGGCCAAGAAACCAAAGAATAGCCTGGCTTATACACAAATATGATGGAAGCAAAAAAGGGAAAATGGTGATTTTGAAATTTCTGGGGCTTTGGAATATGACAATACTCGAAAGACAAGCAAGTAAAGAAAGAAAAAACAAAAACAAAGCTTATCATTGTGGACACTATAGTGTCTCTCTCTTTCAGTGTTGACAGGTATCAGATAAAACATGTCAAGTCGAGGTTCCATTTTGAAGATGGTATAAGTGATGTGTGACAACAGTCTACACAATATATGGGATTTAGTACATGTCTCTTCCCCTTGTTGAATGCAATGGTGCACAGACACCACTGGAGTTAAGCCTGTAAAGGAAAAGAGAAGTCAGTACCAAACAACGAAGAAATAACAAACAATTATAGAATAAATACTTCCACAAACCCACAAAACTAGAGAATAAGAAATGCTTTTGTAAAATGAAGAGTTCGTCAATTCTCCTACAAGAGCATTATTTTGGACACCAAAACATGTGTATCTAATAGGAACGTCTGTACTCACTCTGGTAGAATTAGCTACAAACAGTTATGGATAGTAACAATAATCATAAACAATAGTTACAAAGAGTAATGACCATAAAATAATCAACAACAAAAACCTTGACAAATCTTTCTGAGTATAGAAAGCTTTTTGCAAGATGAAAAGACAACAGATCCAACTGGGGAAATGCTATTCCCCATACTGAGACAACAGCTAGTAAAAATATCTAGCCCTCATTCTGGTAGAGGATTGATTTACTCACATCATAAAATCTGGTTGGGAGCTTATTTTAGCCAGGCCTCTCAACAACAGAAGGACCAATAGGATATACATAGCGGGTCAGAAAGAGACTTATTCTGAGGGATTCATTCAAGCATGAAGTCCCATCAGTCCTATTTTCAGACTGGAAGTCAAAGAAAGCTAGTACTTCAGTCAAGACCAAAGGACATTATTTCGGAAAACGCAGTAGCATAACTTCAAGGCTATGAGCAGCAACCCAATACCTATGGCTATGTAAGTCTGGGCATCTCAGAAAGCACTAGTCTGATGGAAGAAATAGACTGATGCCTTGACTTCAAGAGAGAGACACAGAGTTTTATAACTTAGTAGAAAATTTACTTAAGTCAGGTATTTAAAGACAGTATTTCAACACCAGGTCACTAAAAGGCCACACTAAGAAAAGTATTGAACATGTTAGTATAAGAAGATTAACATATTTGCATTGTCTTCTTGAAGAATCAGAGTTTGGAGCTTTCTTGTATACAGTGGGAATTATCTCAGCTCCAAAGGATTTCTAAGTAGGAATGTCTTCACCAAGAAGGGGATTCTATAATTTACCACACCATGTTGGGACAGACAGAGCATCAGCTGCAAGAATAATTATTCTGCTATGTTCTCAAAGAAAGAACCATGCCATCAAGATGCTATGAAAAGTGTTCTCATGTTACCTACATTTATAAATGCATTAAGCATGACTCTATCTTATATCACTTGCACATACACTTTAAAAATTGAAAAGTTGGTAATGTCTAATATCGTCCAAATAGAATTCAATTCTTCTGGATCATTTTCAACTCAAAATTGTCAATGATATTTCCATGAAAATTGATCTCCATGACAACAAAACCATAAATAGTGTCACGTCCCTTGAAATACTTTTAAAAGTAGCTGTGATACCATGCACCGCAGCCAGTTTTGAAAGTAACCATAACCTCTTTCAGCATGCTGCTAAGACACAGCTGCTCCACTGTCTTTTCATCTTCTCCCTTAGTGCCTAGGGTTGAAGGAATGTTCTGCTACCCTTCCTAGTCATAGTCATAATTTTAGAGATGCCGAAATCCCAAAATAACCAAGTACTCTAAAATGTAACAGAAGGATTAAGAGGAAATTTGAAGACAGGTAGTATAGAAGATTCAACAATGGTCGCATTAAAGTTATCCCTTATATTCTTCTGTTTCAGCTGTATTATTATTTCATGCTCAGAGGATGAATGCCCCAGCATCTGGCACCATGTTTATTCAAAGGAGGGAGACATAGGAAGACAGAAGAGTGGAGACACAACTGCCATGGTACCTGGGAAGCCAGTCTTCTTTAGAAACTGAAGATCTCCAGATTTTACCAGAATCATCCCTTGTATCTATAACAAATTCATAGAACCTTGAGTTCTGGAAAGACAGCTGGTAAAAGAGAAAAAGACCTCATGATTATCAAGAACTAATCTAAAATCTGTAATTATTATTCTAAACAAAATGCAGGGTTCTATTAGCAAGAAAAGACATGGAGAATAGCTGTTGAAATGCTTAGGAGCAACTAGCTACACAGGCGTGCAGGACTTTAAATAAATTAGCTACTTTTCTTAAGTGAGCATATGGAGAGACTCCTGTTTCCTAACAGAAATAATGATTAGGTGGCAAATAGGTATGGTGACATTTCTAAAAATCGGGGAGTCTTGAGTGAGCAAGAACTCACATACACACCACACCATTTTAATATTATAAACTTCAGACTAGGCTTCCTACAGCAATTTGTCTCTCTGCCCCACCAAATGTTCAATATGTTCAATGGAATTGCTGATTGCAGTATAATACTCAAGTTAATCGGTTTTTCTGCTTAATGTTTGTAAATTAGAACCAGTTAGCTGGCATCATTAAAAGGGGAATATCTTGAAGGTCTTGTCCAACAGGAAATCATCCAACTGCCTGGTATGGATAATGCTATGTGTGGGCTTAAGCGAGAGAATTGCCGAAGGTAGACTCCCTAATGGCCCTGACTGTGTTGTTGCTCATCCAACAGTAAATTTTTTTTTATTGAAATTTTATGTACCCTTCTCCTCTTGCCATAAATAGTCAAGAATGAAGAGGAATTAGCTCTTCTGGCATCTTCCTTCTTCCACAAGATTTAGAGATGAATGTTAAATGAGCTAACACTGGAGTTCTTTAAGCAGTCTCCCTTGGCTTGCTTGAGAGTCAGTCTCAGAAGAACCACTATGCCCCCATTCTATGTTTTAGTCGCTTTCCAGAGTAAATCCCCTCGACACACACACGGAAACAGAGTATGTCAGGGGAAGTTAGGAAACTGGCTCTTACTTTTACCCAGAAATCCATAGTGACCAAGGATTTTATATGAACCTGATGCAAGAGAACTGTAAGTGACCAAGTGAGTTACAGTGATCCGGCAGAGGAATCAGAGCAAACCCAAGGCCAGGTGATCAGTATGATGGTCAAGGCTCCATTTCTACTAGCTGTGACTTTAGTCATTTGTCCTGAATTCCTAAGACCCAGCATAGACCCCACATGAACCTCAACAAAAGTGTCTGCCATCTCTTCAAACCCAGGCCCCAACTAAATAAGGTCAAACCTTAGAAAAAGCAAACCTTACTTTTAAATTTGTTAAATGCATGCATATATATATATATATCACATATTGTATAAATATGTAATGAATATATATGTAATGTATTCACAGACACACATATGTGAGAAGACTATGTGACTTACAATACATTAAGGTATGCAGGAGTCTTAATCTGGCCCTGCTGGTAGCAGTGAACAAAACTGACAAATACTGATCACCATATGACTGAGGCTAAAATCAATCACAATGGCCACAAGACAGCATGCCTGTGAGTATCACATGATGACTATGATTCCTTACTTATATGGCCTTTCTTCTAAAGACGTAGATAACTCCAGCGTAATCATAAGGGAACAAAAACAAACATCCCACTTTAGAATACTTCACAAAATCCTTGATTCTGAACACGGTTAGAAAGAGGCTGTGAGAAGTAAACAGACCTAAGAGGTGATTGCTGAACACAACAGGTGACCTAGAGGAGGTCCAGGAGCCATTCTATACTGGACCTTAGGGGGAGATGGAGGAAATGGTAGGAAAAACAGGCCTTGGCTATTCATAACCAATCAATACGCATTAACTGTCAGTAATGAGTGTGTCACAGTAAGTGGGAAAACTGGGCGTGGGGCACAAAAAAGTTCTCCACTCTGTGTTTTTTGGCTGCTCCATGAAAATAACAGAGTCCTAGCAGCTTTATTTTCTTTGTTTTCGTTTTTTTAGTTTCAAGGCCCTCTTTCTAGTACTTGTACTATTTACAGCTGCTTCCTCTTGCCTATAGCACTGCTTAACCTTCAGCGCTCAGGGTCTGACATACAAGGAAGATTTTCTGACAAAGGCCGTTAAAAATCACCTTTTCTTTCCAACATCTTTCCCCAGGAGAGTTCACGGAAATAGCATCAAATCTGTCCACGGGCTCTGTAAGATCCGGAAACACCCAGCAAACCAGACCTGCTCGCTTCTACTTTCTGTGAAGAGGTAAGTTACGCCTCCCGGAAGAAGGGCACTGACCTAACGTGTGTCAGGTGACAGCCACTTCTCTCCTCTTCGCACACAGCCATTTGTGTGGTCTCTGGGAAATTCACAGAAGCACATGCTCACAGACCGATCCTGTGACCACATGACCAGGCACAGGATGAAATCACTGATGTGCTGGGGGCTTCTTCAACAGGAACTTCACGTGGGAAGCTGCCACATTCAGTTTCCGCTTACAAACTGAGCGTGAGTCCCAGGATGTAACACACCCCCCCACCCCCACCCCCCCCGCCCAACCTGTGTTGGTGCCTTCCTGCTTTAGGGACTCTCTGGATTTTCATTTATGGAAAGAGATAACTTCCAGTCCAGATAACATTGAAATCATGGAAATGCATTTAAAATCTTCAGTTGAATGATCTTTGATGAAGGGGAAAATACAATGATCAAAAAGAAATAGTATAAGGGTCCATTTAGTAATCACCACTGTAAAGGCTGGGCAGTCACCAGAAAAGTCAATGCAAAATGGGCCACAGTTCAGGGAAGAAAACGATCTCACTTCATTTGTTGAGAAATTCGTTCTTCAGTGCCGCTAGCCTGTCACTCTAGGGCACCAGAGTGTTTGCTGGGCTGTGCAGTGGGTGCAAATTGCACATGGGTCCTATTCTCTCTCTTAGAGTTCTGATCCTCCTCATTCCAGACTTTACTCTGGTATAGTAGGTTTCAAACGTCAACGTTCCTGAGAGGTACTTAAATTTTTTCCAAATAATGTGAGAAAGGAGGTATTTTTAGACTAGTAAATATCCTAAGTATTTCAGAGATATTTTCAGACTATAAAAATGTTTGGAGTGCTATATTTAGAACTGTAATGATAAATTCTCATATTTACTTTTTTCTTAAATTGTTCTTCGTGGGAATGTGGCTACTGTGGAGGTTTATTTTACTTGATTTCCTTCTTTTATTATATTCTTTCTTTCCCTTACATAGCTATAAACTAAATACGCACGTTTCACTTGAATGTCCATGTTGGGGAGAAAGTATATTTTTACTATACCTTACACAGTGTACTCAGGCATCCATTTCTTACGAACTAAAGATTTGAATAGTAGAAATAAAATTATATATCTATAAGGTATTTTCAGACTTTCGATAACTTGAACTTAAAAGTCTGATCAGCTTGTATTCATGATTAGTTGGTCAGACTGCTTCTGGTCTAGCAATATAAATGTCTGGCAAGTTTGACAGGCAGGTGGGTTCTTTAGCCAGAAAAGATCTGAAGAAGGAGAAGTAATAAACCAACTAGGAATTGGCAGCTTCAAAGTTCCTTTTCTCATGGGGTCACAGAAGAGGGGACTTCTCCAACACGTCAGCTCTGGAAAACTGTGCAACTTCTGCTATGTTGTTGAAGGAGAGAGGGAGAGAGAGAGAGAGAGAGAGAGAGAGAGAGAGAGAGCTGGTTCATTTTAAAGTTCAGTTTGATTACATGGTATCTAGCAAGGGGCTCCATTTTAGATTGTTCTGTCTGTTACTATGGAGTCCTACAGTCTAGTCTAAAGCAATGACCTTACATAAATTATGTTTAACAGAGGTAATAAAACTATATAGGACAATTTTTCCATGGCTCTGGAATGGGCAATGATTTCTTAATAGGGTACAAAAAGCACAAACTGTAAAATAAAAAAAAAGTATATTAAAACTCAGAATACTGTTGATAAAAAGATACTATCCAGAATGACAAAGCAAACTACAGAATAAAGCATAAAATTTCACAATATACTTCAAAAAGGACATTTAACTGTTTTAACTGCTGTGCATGGTACTAGATTTCCAGACTACATACTTATACAAGTATCTAACGTACTTTGAACATATTCCCGCCTGTACCACTCTCTGCTTTCCCTTATCCCTTCCTCCTCCCCATCAGTCTCCTTTGTCTGCCATGGTATTTCACTCCTATTTTTACATCATATGTACGTGCATGACTTATGCATCTGGGATTCACAAGTAATACATAATGTGATACTTGTTTTTCTGAAAAACAAAAACTTAGCTAATTTGCTTCTAAATTACATCTATTTTCTTACAAATAACACAACTTTGTTCTTCCTCTGACTGAAAAAAATCAGTGTGTGTGTGTATGTGTGTGTGTAATATGTTTTCTTTATTCATACTTTACTGACCTATAATGGTTCTAAAACTTAGAATAATGAATAGTGGAGCAATACACATTGACTTGCAAGTACCTCCTTGATATTCTGTCTTGGAGTCCTTTGAATAAAAGCTCAGGAGTGGTCTGGCTGGTCATATAGTCAGTCTTTGTGTGTTTTAGAAATATCCATGCTGATTTCCAAAGCCCTTACATTAGTCTACATACCCACCAGCACTGTGTAACTTATTTTTTGTCTGCATAATCACTAGCATTTGCTTTCTTTTTTACAGTTTCCTTTAAGTCTTTCTGTATTTTGCCTACATGTGTGTGTGTTTCTATGTACCTGGTGCCTACAGAAGTTAGAAGACTATCTCAGATTGCCTGGAATTGGAGTTACCCTGTGGGTCCTCTGCAAGGGTACTTGTCAACTGCTAGCATTGTTTCCTGAGTGACTGACATCCATCTCAGAAAGTCGCTGTCTGGACCTAAGAGATGCTTCCCCTATTTTTTACTCAGAGTTTCTGCTTTTTTGTTTCAAGCTTGCTGACCAAAACTGTTATTTAAAACAAGACAAGGGAAAATGGGAAAAAAGAAAGGAACATTCATGAAAGAAGTCCTACGACTGCCCAATAAACATAGGAAGTAGATAGCCTTTGGTAAGACTGGCATTTTTATTATGTTGAACCTACCTATCCAAGAGCATGAGAGATCTTTTCATTTTCTGGTATCTTCTTCAATTTATTTCTTCAAAGCCTTAAAGTTTTTGTCATACAGGTCTTTCAATTCTTTGGTTAGAGTTACCCCCAAGATATTTTATGTTATTTGTGGCTATTGTGAATGGTGGTGTTTCTCTGATTTCTTTCTCAGTTTCTTTATCATTCGTATATAGGAGGGCTACTGATTTTTTTTTGAGTTGATCTTATATTCTGACACATTACTGAAGGTATTCATCTTCAGTAGGAGTCCCCTGGTAGAATTTTTGGGGTCACTTATGTATACTATCATATCATCTGCAGATAAATGTCATCATAGAACCTTCATCCAGCAACCAATGGAAGCAGATGCAAAGATCCGCAGCGGAGCACTGGATTGAACTCCCAAAGTCCAGTCAAAGAGTGGGAGAAGTGAGAATAAGAGCAAAGATGTCAAGACCATAATGGAGACACCCACAGAAACAACTTACCTGAGCTAATGGGAGTTCACCAACTCCAGCTTGACAGTGAAGGAACCAACATAGAACCAAACTAGGCCCTCTGAATGTGGGTGACAGTTATATGACTTGGACAGACTGTGGGGCCACTGGCAGTGAGACCAAGATTTATCCATACTGTTTGTACTGGCATTTTGGAACCCATTCTCTTTGGAGGGATACCTTGTTCAGCCCAGATACAGTGGGAGGGGCCTTGGTCCTGCTTCAAAGCAATGTTCTAAACATGTTCTCTCCCCATGGAAAGACTTACCCTCTCTAAGGAGAAGATGGAGGCTGGGATGGAGGGTAAGATGGAGGGAGTGGGAGGAGGGGAGGGAGTGGGAACTGGGATTGGTATGTAAAATGAGAAAAAAATAATTTTTTTAAAAAAGTAATTAATTATTAATTTAAAAGGTATGTGAAGTAATGATCGTTAGTCCGAGATGTGCCAGATTCTCTGAACTTGAAGTAACCATGTAGTTACTGGGTACAAATAAAAACCAGCATGATAACATATAAATCCACCAAAAAATTGTAAAAAAGAACAATTAAATGTAGGCAAATACACGTGGCAGTCATAAATCTCATTAGTTGTTGATAGATACCTAAATTGGTACAACTCTTTTGGAAAGCTATTTGGTAATATGAAGTAATGTTGTGCTATTAAATAGTCTATGACCCCAGAAATTCTAGGTACTTACCACACGAACCTACTCATAAATTTCCCCAACGCACATGTACCAGAATGTTTGATAGCATCGCTGCTGAGAGCCCCAAGCTGTAAAACTAGTTGAATGCCGAGTAACCATAGACTAAACAAAAGCAAACACTCTATAACAATCTGCAATGATATGGAATGTTTTCTCTAATCTCAATCTCAATGAAATAATGCTAAGCAAAGGAATTGCACTGTATGATTGTCTATCTGCCAATTATAAAAATGGGCAAAATGGAGGAGGCATAGAGAAGGGGAGGAAGACATGTGGAATTTGGATGGTGCTGACAGCATTCTGATTCTTGTTCATCTTGATACTGGTACCAGTAATAAGATCTCCTACAGCTTCACATTGCAAAGTTTCCCATTTTCTACACCTAGAAATTCATCTCTCATCCATTAAAAGTTACTCTTCAGGGCAAAATTTTCCAAGAAAAAGTCAATGTCTAGTATCTATCTAGAAAAAGTCTAGTAAATGACTTTGAAAAATCTTTTGCATAGAAACAGTTTCTAACCTTTTGGTTTTGATGGAATTGGAAAAGAATCTAACTGGTTTGCATATTGAGATGTCATGGAAGCCAAACTCAGTATTAATTAACATGAAGAATGAGCTCATTGAGTTGACAATGCACATGAAACAGTGATCAAATCTATTAAGTACATTGACAAAATTTGTCATGAAAAGACATCTCTTAAGCTCTAGAATTTTACTTTTGAAAGACGGGTTATTCAACAATAATTATTATTCATATATATATATTTGTGTCAAAGAGAAATATTATAAGATGATGCTTTAAGCATAAACCTGTTATGAAGGATTAACTTTGGTGGGAGAAGAAAAGGAAGATATAAGCTTAGTAAGTATTTTTTGATTAATGATGCACATCAAATTTCTGTGGTACCTAGAGACTGTTGGATGTCGTTAATAGACTGATAAGTATTATTATTAAGTTGTAATCTTGGCAAATATTAAAATTTAGAAACTATTTTCCTAGCTTAAAAGTATAGGAAAATGGCAAGCAAGATATTCTATCAGTGGTGGCGCATGCCTTTAATCGCAGCACTCGAGAGGCAGAGGCAGGCAGATCTCGGTGAGTTCGAGGCCAGCCTGGTCTACAAGAGCTAGTTCCAGGACAGGCTCCAAAGCTACAGAGAAACCCTGTCGC